ATGGAGTGTGGCAAAATGGAAGACTGTTCTGTGGTCAGATGAGTCACAATTTGAAGTTCTTTATGGAACACTGGGACGCCATGTCATCCGGACCAGAGAGGACAAGGATAACCCAAGTTGTTATCAACGCTCCGTTCAGAAGCCTGCATCACTGATGGTATGGGGTTGCATGAGCGCTTGTGGCATGGGCAGCTTGCATGTCTGGAAAGGCACCATTAATGCAGAGAACTATGTTCAGGTTCTAGAACAACATATGCTCCCATCTAGACGTCATCTCTTTCAGGAGAGACCCCGCATTTTTCAACACGATAATGCCAGACCACATTCTGCAGCAATCACAACATCATGGCTACGTAGGAGAAGGATCCGGGTACTGAAATGGCCAGCCTGCAGTCCAGATCTTTCACCTATAGAATCATAAAGAGGAAGGTGCGACAAAGAAGGCCCAAGACGATTGAACAGTTAGAGGCCTGTATTAGACATGAATGGGAGAGCATTCCTATTTCTAAACTTGAGAAACTGGTCTCCTCTGTCCCCAGACGTCTGAGGAGTGTTGTAAGAAGAAGGGGGGATGCCACACAGTGGTAAAAATGGACTTGTCCCAACTTTTTGGGGATTTGTTGACACCATGAAATTTGGAAACAACAGATTTTTCCCTTAAAATGATACATTCTCTCAGTTTAAACTTTTGATCTGTGATTGGTGTTCTGTTCTGAATAAAATATTACATGTTGGCACCTCCACATCATTGCATTCAGTTTTTATTCACAATTTGTTTAGTGTCCCAACTGTTTTGGAATCCGGTTTGTAGTTCAACACTATAGTCACAATAAAATAAAATAAAATCTTATGAAAATCTGCTCTGCATAAAAGACCAAAGACATGCACAAAAAAAACAATGCATCGTATTTATGTCTATATTTCTGATTTACTTCATTTTGTATTTTGCTTTGTGTGTTACCTGATGTTCTGTTTGTACAGCACTTTGGTTGTCCTTGTCGCTGTTTTAAGTGCTCTATAAATAAAATGGTATGGTATGGTATGCAGTTCTAAACGAGCTTAATTCATATTTAGATTTTAAAAGGATTAAATACACAATAGCTGTCAAACTACACAATTCTTTTTTTTTTTTTTTACCATTTTGTACATGTGTAATATCTATGTTAAAAATAAAGACCAAATATGCACCATTCACTACCACAAGTCTAAAGCTTAATTTTTAATAAATGAGCAAAATCAGCAAAGTCATGTTTTGTTGCCAACAATTACAAGTTGTTTGTTTAGATTCAGTCATTGACGAAAACACTTTGAATGTCTAGGAACCCGCAGATATGGAGTGGGTTGAATAATTTTCAAATGTAAACAGATCAGAGGGAGAACAAGGGAACTGAATGAAAAACAATAAAGTTCTTCTTTTCTTCTGAAAAAAAATTGCGACTAAAAGCTGTAAAGATGAGAGTCAATGGAAGCAGAGTTGTTTCGGGGTAGGGGATCAAGCTGGAGAGTGGTAAAGGAAAAGTCGGGCAGTGACAAGATATTTTGAACATCTGATCAACAAATAAGTAGTTGAGTAGGCATTAATATTTGCAGCTTTTAAAGCTTTTTTTGTTTGTTTTGTTTTACAAAAACCCTGATGAGTTTGAGTTAAATAATCCCCAATCATTTAATGATGTAAAAACATGTGTTGGAAGCATAACAATCCAAATCAAACAAGAAAATTGCATATCTTGACAGCTATTATGGTTACAAATACACTAGTCCCGCGCTACTTCGCGGTTTGACTTCTGCAGACTCGCTCTATGGCGGTTTGTGGACGTACAATCCATAATACTGTACAAAAAAATAATAATTTGAACTGGACACATGATTGTCAACTTTAATATTACTCACGTGATTGGGACAATACTGGATACAGTACTGTACAGTAAAAAGTTAAGGACGTTTCTTTCCGCTGAAAAAACCAGAGGTAAAGTTTTGATCTGATCGGCGCCCAGTGGATGCAGAGAAGATGCACTGAACCCACCAAACCAGAGCAGAACCGGAGCAGAACCAGTCCAGACCCATCAATGAATCTGGAGAACTGGTAGCCGGCCCACAAGGACTTGTAAGCGGGGAGGTGCGCCAAAAGCTCCAGAGCCATTTCCGTAGTCCATCGGGACATTTTTCACCCAGACTTGGACTCAATTCGACCACCGGTCCCACGCCAGCCAAGAGAAGTGCTTTGGCGCTCAAGAGCTGCACTGAACCGGACCAGAACCAGACCTCCAGACTCAGTGGTGAACACGAGAGCAAGTAAATAAAAATTATTAGCTACATACTGTATAAGTATGTTAAAATTAGTAGGTTTAAGAGTTTAGAACATTGATAATGGGCTTCATCGCTGCAGCGTACGTCTGCAGAAACAGAAAAACAGAACCGAGTCAGACCGGAACAGAGTCAGACCAGAACCGAGAGCTGTTGATGTTCTGCAGAGCTGGTGAGTAAAATTTACTAGCTACATATACAGTGCTGTACATGTTGTTCAAATGATGTAGGTTTAAGAGTTTAGAACATTGATAATGGGTTTCATCGCTGCAGTGTACGTCTGCAGAAACAGAAAAACAGAACCGAGTCAGACCGGAACAGAGTCGGACCAGAACCGAGAGCTGTTGATGTTCTGCAGAGCTGGTGAGTAAAATTTACTAGCTACATATACAGTGCTGTACATGTTGTTCAAATGATGTAGGTTTAAGAGTTTAGAACATTGCAAGAGTGTGGGAAGGGTTTATAAAGTCTTAATATTTATAAAAATACTAAAATAAATATAACATCCCTACTTCATGGAATTTCACTTATTGTGGGCGGGTTTGGAATCGAACCTCCGCAATAAACGGGGACTAGAGTAATTACTTTATTTTCCAATTTTATACAGTATGCCCACTATTTTAAATTCTAACATGTTTAAACCTGAATTGTGCAAAATAAGCAGGTTACCTGTTACGGGAGGTGGGCTGTGTACAATGGTGCGATTCTCCTCAGGAGGCAACAGGCTTTTTAGGTTAGACTCTGTCACTGGAGTGTGGCAAACTAATATCCTACAGGTGTACACACAGCGCTTTCGAGCATCTAATGTGCTCCAGTACACCCTTGAACACCTAGAGGGAAAAAATATATATATTCAGTTTGAAAAACGACTTAACTTTCCTCTGCAGTTAGATTATTTGTCAGAAAAATAGAAATGCAATGTCATAATAAATGATTCTGAGATAAAACTCCACTTACTGGTACCCTACAGGGAAGAGCTTCCGTTTACAGTCTGAGAGTTCAGTCAGTATTCCCAAACAATCAATTGTCATAGAACCTGCAAAGATGGAGTTTAAATTAAGTGTTGATGGAAAGCTGAGAAAAGTTAAACAACATTTCTTTCCTCCAGTCAGCAGCAGTTAACTTACCAATCATCATGTGGACTTTTTCTGGCTCCAGTCCTGCCAGCCACTTCCTCCTGAGACTGATGCCCTCCAGGTCCACCAGAATCCTGCGGGTCACCTCAAACCCAGACACAACCTCAAAGAAAAAGTAAAGAAACATAAAAAAAGGTGAAGGACGGTGAAGGATCCTGGCATCAATAAAAAATACAATTGATGTGAATGTTTCTATTTTATCAAGAAAAGCTCTTACATCTCCTTTGATGAGGTCTCTGTGTTTTGAACAGTAGACCTTCTTGTCTTCCAAGAACACGCAGTGGCTCTGACGGGCGCACATGAAGTGGTAGTTACCGTTGCACGAGGCGAGGCAGCAGCTGACTGTGGCCCCTGACTTTTCACACCTCTCACAGCGCTGGATAGAAAGTACAACAGACTGATGGTGTCGGTCCAGTGAATACATTAGAGCACATATGTCAAACTCATGGCCCGGGGGCCAAATGTGGCCCTTGTTGACATCTTATCTGGCCCCCAAGATGATATGTTAAACGTCAAATACTTCTTTCGCTTGAATTTTGTTCAGTAATCTTTGATTATGGTGTCAAAAGTGCAACATAAAATGTCAAATTAGACCAATCAAACTCTTTTTGAGGAACCTGCAAACAAGAAAAGATGTTGGGTATCTAACTTGAGTTAAAACAGATTCTGAAACTGGCCCTTAGTTTGAAAAAGGTTTTAATTTTGGCCCCCTTTTGTAAGTGAGTTTGACACCCCTGCATTAGAGTGTCAGTTTGATCAGCCTTACCATTTGTCTCCCCCTGTGGACAGCCCTGTGAACATTTTTCAAAGAGCCGTCGTCGTCTTCGAACACCTCAGCAGACCAGAGAGCGCAGTTCACGTGAGTCCACTCGTTCTGACCGATGTACAACAGCCTGCCACACTCCTGAAACCCACAGGAATGTGTGAGTGACACAGACTCAGCCTTTTGTGTGTTGAAGTGAGTTAAACCCCCATTAGTGACTCACATTTGTGTTCTCGTCTCCATACTCGAGACACAAAACACACTGCCTGTTATCGGTGACGTCTGGTGGAGGAGGAAGCTCTGGGCTGTCTTCACAATCTTGAGGAGCAAAAAATGAAAATATGATTAAAACAACAAAAGATGTATGAAACACAAAACAAACCACAAAACAGCCTAAATGTAAATACAAGGTGGTGCAATATTTAAAATTAGCCTCACCTGGTACGAGTGCAGGTGGTGGAGGTAGAGAGGGAGGGAGCAGAGGAGAGGGCGCTGGTAAATCGGGTTCCCCGGGTGCCTTCGGCTGTGGAGCTGGGATGATTTTTTTCATCAAATGAGGATGTTCAGCACGACACAGCTCCTGCCTCTCCTGCCACTGGGCGTAGTTGTGGTCTAGAGATGGGGGCAGCACAGCATTGGGAAGGAGCCCACTGCTGGGAACAACGACACATCGACACTTTTATCTGACACGTTACTACAAATAATATGAACTGTGTATGCTATGACTTATGTTAAAAGAAGAGTATTAAACAATGAAATAAAATAGTGGTTAAAATTAAATAAAGCCTAAACAGATTTAAAAAGTTGGCTGATGTCCCTCTGTGAGGAGTGACATCAGTCGACACAGACAGCTGTAAAACTGCAACGTAAAATCCTTGAACAGCAGGGGAATTTATTTCATGCAAGATTATTAATTCTCCTAAATGTGCACTTTACAAATGACCATACAAGAACCTATTAGCTCTAACACAACCAGTAACTTTATAATGGTCTATCTGAAACAGCTTTGACTAGTTGAGGAAATGGGAAACAACAATCTAGAGCTTTCTAAGGGCGTGTGGAATCAGGATGTTATCAACAGATTCATTTGAGTTGTAGGTTTTAGAGTGGGATTTTGTTCCACACAGATGTCATCAGACCCACAAAACAAGTATCTGTGGAGTCTGGAAGCAGGTGAACACCTCGGACTCTTTGTCCTGCAGCTATTGCAGAGCAGAGATGGACAATGACTGTCCACTATTTGAGTAGCTGGTTACTGTTGGGGGTGGACATATCATAACTGGTATGCAGGTACGTATGCGCAACAAAAATCAGGAATAATAGCATCACCTGTGTTACCACGCGCCTTTGCGTACTCGACTGTCAAGTTATCAACACGGTATTTCTCGGTGGGCCGGTCTGATATGTGGGCTGCAGGGCCGGCGCTCCCTGTTTTTTTTATTTATTATTATTTTAAGAACTTTTTATTAACAACATTAAAACTCAGAACACCGCTACCGCTGCACTTGGACCACCTCCACCCAGGGCCGGAGGGAACTTTTTTTTTTTTTGCACAAGTCGGATCCGCAGCAACCTGTCAATCAACCCAGTAGGCGTGTCAGCAACTGACCAATCGACAACCTCCATTTGTCCCGAAGTCCTGCCCTTACCTGCAGCCCATCAGTTTTTTTTTCTAGAACTTTATTAACAACACAAAACAGAACAATGCAACAAGATACAAATACAAACACGTGAAGAATGTCATAACTACATTTCACAAAATATGGGGCTTTACAAAATAATGAAAGAGAAAAAAATACTAAAAACAAGGAGGTACATCTTCAGCATCTGCATCATCTACCATGCAAGAAGCTGAAGCAGAGGATAGTGGGAGTGACACTGAGGACAGCAAGGAAGGTGGCACCTATTAAGACAAAGCTGCATATGGGGTGTGTACCAAACACCATCTCCTGGTACTCACCTGAGGAGCCCACTAAAAAAGTTATGTGCACCCCCTGTGACTTTGGTTATACTAACTTGGCAGTAAAATGCTGCCAACTTTACCACAAGGTGGCAGTAATGCAACAAATAGCAGCTTTTTCACATCAGGGGTGCTCTTTACACCTAAACACCTGCCAAAGAAAAGTCTGAAGACATTCTGTGTTTAATTCTGCCACTGTGGTTTTATTTGAGATGGGTAGCAAAAGTGAAAACAACGGTCACAAGTGAGTGACACCATCACTGCTGGGAACTGTGCACACCTCTCCAATCTACTGGACATGTCAAACAAACTGACACAAATGTACAAATATACACGTGCCTCATTGCCAAGCAACCTTGCAGAAAAGTTAAGGCAGGTAGTAATAGTCAAAATAACATCCAAGTGACGGCCAAAATGAAGAGTTTCCAGCTAAACGCTGTTTTACAACCAGCTGCTCGTTATGTTGTGGTTGATCTGTGCATATACTGTAAATGTATAATCATGTGACAACATGCAGAATTTAAAAGCTAGAGAAGCAAACCTAACTAGCCTCATTAATGTGTCGTGTTTCTGCCAAGTCAAGCAAGTCTGAATAATAATAATAATAATAATAATAATAATAATAATAATAATAATAA